GGTTCGGCTATTTGCCAACTAGCCTGTAAGAGTTTCATTATTCTGATACCAGGTACAGGTATGCCAGGATATGGATTATAAGCCCTGGAAACCTCTGCAAGAGTGGTGTCAGTGCAGCTCTGGGGTAGAAACTCCCACTGGGTGGGCTGAGGAGAGAAGTTAAGGGGATGAGTAAGGAAATGGGAGGGTAACAACTAGTGACAGGTTTAAGGGACATACTGCCACTAAGTGAATCAGAGAAATGGGGTTTTGATTTGGATTTCCCTGATGCCGAGCGATGTTGAGCACTTTTCGTGTGTCTGTTGGCCATTTGGATGTCTTCTTTGGAAAAATGTCTGTTCATGTCTTCTGCCCATTTCTTGATTGGATTATTCTTTGGGTGTTGAGTTTGATAAGTTCTTTATAGGTTTTGGATACTAGCCCTTTATCTGATATGCGATTTGCAAATATTTTCTCCCATTCTGTCGGTTGTCTTTTGGTTTTGTGGACTGTTTCTTTTGCCGTGCAAAAGCTTTTTATCTTGATGAAATCCCAATAGTTCATTTTTGCCCTGGCTTCCCTTGCCTTTGGCGATGTTTCTAGGAAGAAGTTGCTGCAGCTGAGGTGGAAGAGGTTGCTGCCTGTGTTCTCCTTTAGGATTTTGATGGACTCCTGTCTCACATTTAAGTCTTTCAACCATTTGGAGTCTATTTTTGTGTGTGGTGTAAGGAAATGGTCCAGTTTCATTCTTCTGCATGTGGCTGTCCAATTTTCCCAACACCATTTGTTGAAGAGACTGTCTTTTTTCCATTGGACATTCTTTCCTGCTTTGTCAAAGATGAGTTGACCATAGAGTTGAGGATCCATTTCTGGGCTCTCTATTCTGTTCCATTGATCTATGTGTCTGTTTTTGTGCCAGTACCATACTGTCTTGATGATGACAGCTTTGTAATAGAGCTGGAAGTCCGGAATTGTGATGCCGCCAGCTTTGCTTTTCTTTTTCAATATTCCTCTGGCTATTTGGGGTCTCTTCTAGTTCCATACAAATTTTAGGATTATTTGTTCCATTTCTTTGAAAAAGGTGGATGGTATTTTGATGGGGATTGCATTGACTGTGTAGATTGCTCTAGGTAGCACTGACATCTTCACAATGTTTGTTCTTCCAATCCATGAGCATCGGATGATCGTTTTTCTAATATTCATTCTGATTGTACTTTTAAAAAGTATCAGTGACAAGTTGAAATTTAAAAAACAAATTGGTCCTTTTATCCCCACAGAGTCACAGAGTTTGAGAAGCTCCAGAATGTGTTTGGTAGCTGATGATAAGATCTAGTATTCTAGAGAGAGAAACGAATGATTCGGGAGAGAGAGGAGACAGTGTCAGGAACAAAATTCTTGGGAAGGGAAGAATACTGAGACCCCAGGCATCAAGAGAGATTGGTCTTGGGTAGGAGCTGCGATATTCCATCCTTGTCATTAGAAGGAAGTCAGAAAATAAGGCTACAGATGCAGGGATAGGAGTAGCAGTGGTCCAGAAAAGATGACAGAGGCCCCTGCAGCCACTGTGTGCCATCTTAGCTGTACTGAATTGGACTGACAACCAGACAAACCCAAACTTCTCTTGTATATGAAAAATATCACGGGCTGAGTGATGCTGTGTGTGCAGTGTCAGTAGAATCCTCCCTCTGGCTACGATAAGAATATCAGCACTGTACGATTACCAGATGGAATTCAGAACCATCTTGGTTGTCTACATGGCTGCCCTTAAGATAATGTAGAGTTGAGCAACCCTCAGTTTGTTTCCTGAGATTAAGAATTCCTCATGGTGAGCGCTGTAAATTGTGTAAGACTGTTGAATCACAGACCTGTACCTCTGAAACAAATAATACATTATATGTTAAAAAAAAAAAAAAAAGAAGAAGAAGAAGACGATGATAGCAGGAGGGGAAGAATGAAGGGGGGAAATCAGAGGGGGAGATGAACCATGAGAGACTATGGACTCTGAGAAACAAACTGAGGGTTCTAGAGGGGAGGGGGTGGGGGAATGGGTTAGCCTGGTGATGGGTATTAAGGAGGGCACGTATTGCATGGAGCTCTGGGTGTTATATGCAAACAGTGAATCATGGAACACTGCATCAAAAACTAATGATGTAATGTATGGTGATTAACATAACATAATAATAGAAAGAAAATGATATAAAAACACAATTTTATTCTATGTAGGTACCTACAATAAAAATAATAATGCTTTAAAGCCAAAAAAAAAAAAGATAATGTAGAGTTGATCCAATACCCAAAAGGATGGGTTCCAAGTTTTGCACGTCAGGTGAGTTTTCAGTAGAAAAGTGGCTTAGTTTTTTTTTGTTTTTGTTTTTGTTTTTGTTTTTTCTTGCAAAAGCACCATGAGGTTTATATCCAAAAGTATGAAATTATACTGGCGCACCACAGGTTAGATTTAAGTGGAAGTGAACTGATAAACAACTCAAACATGACCAGTCAGATAGGTATCATGACTTGAAATAATCGATCCTAGCAGTATGTTCCAGTTGGAATAAAATGTCATGTGTTACAGTCCATTTCTGTTAACTCATCAAAACATTAATATATGGCCTTTCCCGAAGAGAGTAATCTTTGTAGACAGTAACAGTTGTGTGACATTCTACTTGAGCATGGTTTTAGCTTTGCACTTACAACAGAGCTTGAAGAGTCTTTGCCCTCTTCCATGAAGGTGACGAAATTATGTCAGAGACTGTCTTTGTGAGAGCTCTAGGCAATTTTAGAACTTTCCACATTGCGCTCCTAAGCTTCGTTGGAATAGAGGTTCAAGACAAGTTGATTCCTGAGTAGCCTTTATGTTATTTTTTATTCTTTTCTGTATTTGTGAAATATTTTACAATAAGTATTTGTTACTTTTCTAGTTTAAAAAATATTTTAGAGTGAAATAAGTCAAAGACATATACTGTATATCACTTACATGTGGACTCTATTAAAAAAAATATATCAAAACCATAGAAGCAGAGACTAGAATGGTAGTTACCAGGGGCTTAAGGGGCGGAGGGATAGAGAGGTGTTGGTCACAGAGCACAAACTTCCAGCTGTAAGATGAATAGGTTCTGGGCAATCTAATGGACAGCATGGTGATTATGGTTAATAATACCGTATTGTATACCTCAAAGTAGCTAAGAGAATAGCTTTAAAAAAAAAAAGCAGTCTGAATCAGAGCTTCTGAGTCACATACCCAGCTTTTAAATGAATCTAGCCGAGGGAAGACTCTCAACTTTAGAAAGATGAATTATATAAGATTTATAATCTCTTAATTCAGATTTTATGTTGCATTTTTTAACAAGTTTTATGTTTTCTAAACCTGAAATGCATACATTCAGGGAATGTGCATCTATTCACATTGATGAGTTTCAGTGCATCCAGAGGTTTATTTTATTCCAGGCACATTTCATTAGAACAAGAAATTAAGGGTTGTAAAAAAAAGAGAGAGAGAAAATAGATGTCTGTTGTCTGTTGGTTTAATAGAGATAGTCTATGCATGAAAATGTGTGAGATTTATAAAAGAAATTTAATAATAATTTTCCAGGAAGCAAACAGAGCTAAATAATGCAAGATAATGTGGATTTTTTCACTTTTATTTCTTTGGATGAAAAATATGTTACATCTTATGTTTTAGATAGAATTTTGAGATCAGGTGAAAGATAGCTGAGAAATTGACTTTTGGGGGTCTTCTCCATACATGTCTGGGAGCTCCCTGTGTCCCTCCCCTCATCAGCTTCCAAATCAAAGTCACTAGCGTTAGGAAAGAACATTAACATCCTGTTTAGTAAGAAATGATTTGTTTACATATAAATGATTTTAATTTAAAAAGTCTGTGGTGTATAAATAACATGTATCACTGTTTTCTGGTCAGAGATTCATAGAACAGCATTACAAAAATGTTTTAATATTTTGTCTTGAGGAATTTTTTTTATTTGTAAACAAATACTTAACTCTTCCCAGTTTACAGGACAGAGCAGTACCTGTCTTTTGGTGTTTTTGAATATGAAAACCTTTTATTTTTTAGAACTGTAAGATCTTCCAAATGAAATATATTCTTTCTGAAAGCATTTAATCTTACCAAAGAAAGTAAGTCAACATAATATTGTTGGCAGCTTTTTAGACTTTCCCAAGAGAGAGTTTTTTTTTTAATCCAAACTTGAAATGTTAAGACCACCTTTTTGAACCTTTCATCTGACTTCATCCCAAACTTTGGGCTGACTTGTATTGCCCTTTACATCATTTCGTTTACACTGAATAATGGCAACAGGCATTTGATCTATGTGGGGGTTAGGGCTATTCTTGCTCTATGCCATGAGTCACTGGTGGATTCACTTAGTGGGGAAAACCAATCCTTGATGCCAGGCAAAAGTTCCTCTGTTTGTTGGCTTTCTTTAAAATCTTGGGTTTTTTTCCAGCTGGAAATAGGGGGGCGGAGTGGGTAGGGTAGAGAATAATTTGCCGTTAATGTTTTTACCTGATCCAAGAAATACAATCTCGGGGGGAGGGGGCGCTATCTAATGTTTTTCTCCAGAATAAAAAATTTAGCTTTTCTCTTAATATTTAAAATCTCATGATCCAGGGGCACCTGGGTGGCTCAGTCGGTTAAGCGGCTGCCTTCTGCTCGGGTCATGATCCCAGGGTCCTGGGATCGAGCCCCACATCGGGCTCCCTGCTCAGCGGAGAGCTTGCTTCTGCCTTTCTCTCTGTCTGCCGCTCTGCCTACTTGTGCTCTCTCTCTCTCTCTGTTAAATAAATAAAATAATCTTTAAAAAAAAATAAAATAAAATCTCATGATCGGTCACTCTAATATCTCCCTTAGCTAAACAGGAAAAGGCAAAGAACTAAATTTTTTTCATGAAATTCTTACCCTCAGAGCAGAGATAATAAATGTTAAAGGGATCCTGAACACTCATTCCATGTGAACAAAATATGGTGACATATTTTTCAAACAAATCATGAGTACATTTGATTTTTAGGTGGGCAGATCAACAGAAAGCCCTATCGACTTCGTTGTTACAGACACAATTTCTGGCAGTCAGAACAACGATGAGGCCCAGATTACACAGAGCACCATATCCAGGTTTGCCTGCAGGATTGTCTGCGACAGAAACGAACCTTACACAGCACGGATATTCGCAGCCGGATTTGACTCTTCCAAAAACATATTTCTTGGAGTAAGTACTATTACTAAGTACATTGTTTCAAGGAAAACGCCCATTATCATCAGATACAACATTTAATTGTGGCCAAAAATCTGCTTTCCACGGTGCCTCCAGTTAGATTTGGAGATTTTAGTTTTCAGATGTGGAGTTTGAAAGGCTGTTTTTAAGAATCTAAAAATAATTAAGTCATTACTTGATACTTGTTACATTTGCTGTATTGTGTATATGTACAGTAATTACTTTTTAAAAATGTATATTAACATCGTACTTAATGTATTTATAGTAGATATAAGGGGGTTTATTTCAGTGGGAAAAATAAATGGTCAAATCTACATAGAGTTCAAAAGAAAGAGTGACATTCATTTATTCGTTCAAAAAATTTTCATTGGGTATTTGCTGCTGGGTTCTATGTCAGGTGTTATAGGTGTGATATCACAGAACAAAACAGAGTAAAAATTTCTGGCTTCATAAGGCTTCCATGTAAATGAAACCCAGAAGTTTTAGTGAATATCCAATTTTATTATAGTTTTTTTTTTTTTTTTTAATCAGGATGTTTTTGCAGGGGGGAAAAAAAACATTCAAAATGGCCTTTAAAAATGGCCTAAGCAGTGGCGCCTGGGTGGCTCAGTCACTTAAGCGTCTGCCTTCAGCTCAGGTCATGATCTCAGGTTCCCGTATAACACCCCCCCACCCCCGCTGCCCCTGCCTTGGGCTCCCTGCTCAGTGGGGAGTCTGCTTCTCCCTCTGCACCCCCCCCCCCGGCTCCTGCGCATACATGCTCTCTTTCTCTCTCTTGCTCACTCTCGCTCGCTCTCTCTCACAAATAAATAAATAAAATCTTTTTTTTTAATGGCCTGAACAATAATAAAAATGTATTACTTCATGTAACAAGGAGCGCCAAGGAAGACAGCTCCAGGGTTGGGTAATGCAGTGATTCCGTATCACCCAGGGAAGCAGGTTCGTTCTGTCTTGCCCCTATCTCCCCGGGCAAATCTGCTTCCTCAGGCTGCCTTAGGGATGAGAGATGGCTTCTGCACTTCATTCACCCCCTGCCACATGACCACTTCCAGTTGAAGAGGCGGGGGCAGAGGCACTGTTTCTTCCTTATCTCTTTTTATTGTTTTTCTATTTACTTTTTCAAATGAGTAAATTTGACATTTAACCTTGTGTAAGTGTAAGGTGTACAGCCATGTTACCATGATGTACTTATATGTTGTAAAATGATTGCCAATATAGGATTATTTACCACATCCCACAACTATAGTACAATAATATGGTCTATATTCATAACACGGTGCATTAGATCTCTGTGGCTGATTACAAGCTTGTACTTTTAAACACCATCCGTCTTCACCACTCTCCCTGTGTTTCCCCCACTCACACCCATCCCATCCCCAGTAACTGTCATTTTACTCTGTTTTTGTAGGCTTAATTTTTTAAGATTCCACATATAAGTGACATCATATAGTACATATTTTCTCTGACTTAACTTGCTTAGCATAACGTGCTCAAGGTCCATCTATGTTGTTCCAAATGGAAGGCTATCCTCCTTTCTCGTGGGTAAATAATATGTACAGTGTCTTTTTTTATCCATTCATTCATTGATGGGCATTGGATGGCTTCCATATCTTGCCTGTTGGGAATAATGCAGTAAACATGGGAGTGCATATATCTCCTTGAAATCCTGTTTTCATTTCCTTTGAGTATGTGCCCTAAAGTGGAAATGCTGGATCATATGGTAGTTGTTTTTAAATTTTGGACTATTTAGGGTCTTTTGTGGTTGCACATAAAGCTTAGGATTATTTCTTCTATTTCTGTGAAGAATTCTTTTAATATTTTGATGGAGACTGTGTTGAATCTATAGATGGATTTGGGTAGTATGGCCATTTTAACAATAATCTTCGGTTTCATAAACATGGAGTGTCTTTCCATTTGTGTCTTCAAATTCAGCAAAGTTTGTAATTTTCCTTGTATAGATCTTTCACTTCCTTGGTGAAATTTATTCCTAAGTACTTTACTGTATTTGATGCTGTTGTAAATGGGATAGTTTTCTTTAGGCCTTTTTCAAATGCCTCATCTTCATCATTAGTGTAAAGGAATGCAACTTTCTTCTCTATGTTGGTTTTGTGTCCTGCCACTTTACTGAAATCGTTAATTCCAACAGCTTTTTGACTGCTTCTTTGGGATTCTCAATATACAAGATTGTATCATTAGCAAATAGGGCTAAGCAATAGTTTTACTTCTTTCTTTCCAATTTGTATGCCATTTATTTCTTTATCTTGCCTAATTGCTCTGGCTAGGACATGTAGCACTATATTGAATAGGAATGGTGAGAGTGGGCATCCTTGTCTTGTTTCTGATCTTAGAGGAAACACTTGCAGTTTTTCTTCATCGAGTATGATATTAGCTGTAGGTTTGGCATATATGCCCTTTATTATGTTGAGGTATAGTCCTTCTGTAGCCAATCTGGTAAGGGTTTTTATTCTGAAAGGATGTTGTGTTTTGTCAAATGCTTTTTCTGTAGCTATTGAGATGATCATGTGATTATCTTTCATTTTATTGATAGGATGTATTACATTTATTGATTTGCATACGTTGAACCATCCTTGCATCCCAGGGGAACTCCCACTTGCTCACGGTGTATAATCCTTTTAATGTGTTCTTGAATTTGATTTGCTCATATTTTGTTGAGAACTTTTACATCTACATTTATCAGGGATATTGGTCTATAATTTTCTTGTGGTATCCTTATCTGGTTTTGGTATCAAGGGAATGAGTTTGGAAATATTCCTTCGTCCTCAATATTTTGGAAGAGTTTGAGGAGGATTGGTGTTAATTCTTCCTTAAATATTTGGTAGCATTCTCTAGTTGAAGCCAACTAGTCCTAGAGTTTTCTTGGGATTTTTTTTAAATTACTGATTTGATCTCTTTACTCATTATTGGGCTGCTCAGATTTTCTGATTCTTCTTGATTCAGTCTTGGTAGATGTGTGTTTCTGGAAATGTATCTATTTCTTCTACATTCTAGCAGTCTTTCATGATTCTATGTATGTCTGTAATACCAGGTATAACATCTCCTCTTTCATATCTAATTTTGAGTCTTCTTTTTTTCTTAGTTTAGCTAAAGACTTGTTGATTTTTACCTTTTTTAAGAACAGCTCTCAGTTTCATTGATCTTTTCTGTTGTTTTTCTGGTCTCTATTTCATTTATTTCTCCTTGGATCCTTATTTCCTTCCTTCTGCTAACTTTGGGCTTGCTTTATTCTTCTTTTTCTAGTTTCTTGAAATGTAAAGTTAGGTTGTTTATTTGAGACTTTTCTAATTTCTTAATATGCATATTTATTGCTATAGGATTCTCAGAACTGCTTTTGTTGTATCCCACAATATTTGATATGTTGTGTTTACATTTTCAATTGTTTCAAGATAATTTTTCCTCTTTTGATTTCTTCTTTGACTCAGTGGTTGTTTAGAAGGGAGTTGTTTAGTTGCCACATATTTGTAGATCTTCTCACTTCCCTTTCATTGTCACTTTCTAGTTCATGCCACTGTGGTCAGGGAAGATAGTTGATATGATTTTAGTCTTCTTAAACTTGCTAAAATTTGTTTTGTGGCCTATCCTATCTCTCCTGGAGAATGTTCCAGTGCACTTGAGAAAAATATGTTCTGCTACTGTTGGATAAAATGTTCTGTATATGTCTACTAAGTCCATTTGTTCTAAAGTATGGTTCAGTTCCAATGTCTCCTTGGTGATTTTCTGTCTGAAAAATCCATCCGTTGCTGACAGTGGGGTATTGAAGTCCCCTACAGTTATTATATTGTGGTCCATTTCTCTATTAGATCTGTTATTATGTGCTTTATATAATTTGGTACTCAGATTTTGGGCACATATATATTTACAATCATTATGTTTTCTAGATGTACTGACCCTTTTATGATTATGTAATGACTTTGTCTCTTATTACCCTTTTTGGCTTGAAATCTATTTTGGCTGATGTAAGTATGACTATACCATCCTTCTCTTGGATTCTGTTTGCTCAGAATATAATCTTCCATCCTTTCATTTTGAGCCCATGTGTGTCTTTAAAGCTGAGATGAATCTCCTGTAGGGCAGCATATAGTTGGGTTTTTTGTTGTTTTTAATCCATCCAGCCACTCTATGCCTTTTGCTGAGTTCAGTGCATTTACATTTAGTGTGATTGTTGATATGTAAGGACTTACTACTGCCATTTTCTCTTTTGCCTTCTAGTTATTTTGTCTCTCTATTGTTTCTTTTTCCTTCCATTTCTACCTACCTTTGTACCTTGGTGATTTTCCATGGTGCTTTTTGCTCAGTTTCCCCCACTTTTGATGTTTTGTGTCTCTGCTCTAGATTTTTGCTTTGTGGTTATCATGTTTACATAAAACAACTCATAGGTAAAATAGTCCTTTTTCTGCTGGTAGCAATTTCTCTTCTTTTGCCTATGAAGATTCCATCATTTTACTCTTTTTCTTTTATATTTTTCATATCACAAATTATCTCATTTTATGCTGTGATTTTGTTACCACGTTGTAGTAGCTGTAGTTGTTTTTATTTATTATTTATTATAGGTATTTTTCATGCTCTTTGCCTTCAACCTTTATGCTATCATTAGGAGTTTAGAGTTTAGCATATTACTACAAAGAGTTGCAGTTTCTAATTCTGTTACCTTAATCAGAGTTTTGTGTGCCTCTGTCTTTTCGTTTCAGCTTAAGAGCTCCTTTCAGCGCTTCTTGTAAGGCAGATCTAGAGATGGTGAACTCCCTCAGCTCTTGTTTGTCTGGGAAAGTCTTTACTTGTCCTTTATATCTGAAGCATAACTTTGCTGGGTAGAATATTCTTGGCTGGCAGTTTTTATCTGAGAAATTTGATAGCCTGATGGGGATTCCTTTGTAGGTTACTGTCTTTTTATTCCCTAGCTGCCTTTAAAATTCTGTCATTGACCTTTAATAGTTAATATAATGTGTCTTGGAGAAGATCTTGCATTGAGATAATAAGATGTTCTGTTGGCTTCATGGACTTTGCATATCCAGGTCTTTCCCCAAGTTTTGGAAGTTCGCAGGAATTATTTCTTTAAATAGCTGTCTTTTTCTCCCTCTCTTCTCCTTCCAGAAAATTCATTATTCTTATGTTGGCTTTTCTGATGGAGTCTGCTAGCTCTTGTAGTGTTTCTTCACTTCTTAAATCTTAGTTCTCTCCTCTCTTCCATCTGAATCATTTCTATGTTCCTGTCTTCCAGCTTGCTAATTCTCTCTTCCACCTGATCTGCTCTATTTCCAGTGCTTTCTAATTGATTCTTCATGTCATTTATTGAGTTATTCAGACCCAGAATTTGTTTGGTTCTTTGTAAGAATTTTGGTGCCTTTGGTAAAGTATTCCTTCTGTTAGTTTTATTTCTAAGGTCATTGTATTGCCATTCTAAGTTTTCTTGTAGCTCATTAAATTTCTTCATAACTGCTTTTTTGAATTCTGTATCTGTTAGATTGCAGTATTCCATATCTTTGGGTTCAGTTGCTGGAAAATTGTCATTTTCTTTTTGTGATACTGTATGACTGTGATTTTTCTTGATGTTTGATTAAAAGTACCTCTGTCCTCACACTGGAAGTAGGGAACACCCTATTTACACAAGGTTCTGTTTATTTTGATTCTAACAGTTCAACATGTTGGTAGTTAGGAGCCTTTTGTTTTCCAGAAGGTGGCACTATAGCACAAATTTTTGGTTTCTCTTGGGGGTAGGGGCTGACCTTTCAGAGGTTTGGAGGTTTGGGCACCAAGAGAAAAGGAATGGGGGGGTACAGCAGAGCTGGGGGAGGTATGTACTTAGTTCTTAGGACTTTGATGTGCCCACAGCCTGGTAGGGGAATCTTTAAGTTGGGGTGGGGGGTGTGGGGGTGGTCCAAAAATCCATGGACCAGAACCCTGGGGCAGACCATAGGGGGACCCTTCCCTGAAGTTCTCTTTGCCTACTTCCCTTCCCCCACTCACTGCAGTCTTTCCTCAGAGACAGCAGTGGGTCCTTCCAGCTATAGAACATGTGTGGGGCAGACCCCCACTTAACCTGCTTCACCCTCCACCTCCTTTGTCAGAAAAGGTCACGCTATCCCCCTGCCCACCGGCCACTGCCTTTGTCACCTCTGGCTCCCCAGCGACTCTCCTCTGTTATGCACCCAGTTTCATGGGCATGGATGTATGGATCTCTCTCAGGTGATCTGGATGCTGTGCAGCCATGCTCTGCCACTGGGCGGCTGATGTCATTCCCCCCTTCCTGTTCTCTTTTTAGAGCAAAGGAACCTTACCAGGCTCCTAGAAGACCCACTCATGTCTCATTGGCCAGAGCTCAGTCACTGGCAAGAGGGCTTATCCTAATCAGAACTGACTCCTGAGTCATGTGAGCAATATCTGGCTCTGTCCTCAAGAAAGAAGAATCACTGGCACAGGCATCCAAGAGTGTTTGTCCTGCCATTATATCAAGCTGTCTTTACCTTCCATCTTTGAGGATATAAACATTGATATTTATCAAGACATACTGGCCACAACTTGTTAGCTTAACATTTTTTAAAATTTTGTATGTTTAATGAAAATTCCTTTTTCCTCTTCCTTCTGTATACGTCCCAGGTAATGATTACATGTAAAGCACTGGTACATAAGAGGCAAAAGGATTGCACAAATAGAACTGAAGAACACATACTAGATTCCTGGAATCTCCCAGGGGTAAGGGGGTGGATAGAAAAGAATCTCTGAGGGAAGGGCTCAGGCATCAGGTTCCTTTTTTTTTTTCTTTAAAGCTCCCAAGATGAATATAATGCATATCCAATGATAAATCATTCATACATTTCAGCACTTTCATGTTATCAGAATAATTGCATATTTTATCCTTCTGATTATTAGCTTTAAATAGAAAATGAAAATTCATCACTTTCCTTCCTTCTTCCCATACTGGAGATCTTAAAGAGATTCTGGAATCCCTTCATTTTGAACTTAATCTTAGCATGCTTTTTCTATTCTGTGGTATGCTCTCCAGGAAAAGGCAGCAAAATGGAAAAACCCTGATGGCCACATGGATGGGCTCACTACAAATGGCGTCCTTGTGATGCATCCCCGAGGGGGCTTCACTGAGGAGTCCCAGCCTGGGGTCTGGCGTGAGATCTCTGTCTGTGGAGACGTGTACACCCTGCGAGAAACCAGGTCAGCCCAGCAAAGAGGAAAGCTGGTGAGTGGTCTTCACTCTGGAAAATGTACCACACTACAAAAGCCTAGCTCAAGGGCTGTCATTTGTCTCCCCTGAAATCCAGAACCTTTGTGGAAGCACCAGTGCTGTGGACCATTGACCTAGGAGAATGAGAATTCCCTAAGCCCCTGAAAATGCTAAGGAAATGGGCTTATTTCCTTCCATGATTAAGCTTTTCCCATAGTAGAAGAAAATTATCTTTTTGCTCCTTACTACCTTAATAGCATGTCTTTTATTATATGCTTCATTACAAAATTCCGCTTAAATTCACTTTAAGAAGGGGAAACTTATTTTTAGTGTAAAACTTTACTAATTTGGAAAAATCCTGAGCTGTCCAAGAGTAGTGAAAATTATGAATTACAGAGTTATTTACTAGACTTTCTGGAACTGAAAGATAACTTAAGCTTTTTTTCCTTGAGTTCATAGTAAGAAATTAATATATAATACCCTGTGTAATTCACCAAAATCATAAAACTTTTTATTTGAAATCATTCATTGAGGGCATTGACTTGGCATGTTAATATTTTCCTATAAATATCCCTGCTTCTCCCAAATGCCCTAAAGCAGTTGGCTTTTTAACTCTTTCTTCTGTGAATAATTATAAGCCCTTAAATGGGAAGTTTTAGGTGTCTGATCTTACCATGGCTGTGTGGCACAGCGCCAGAAGTTTCTGAGTAAACTTTCGACTCTAGTGCTTTTAATTAATTGGTAGATAGAAGCTAGAACCAGAGAGAATAAATGTTCCCTTCAGAACCCCTCTAGAAAAGCACAGAGTGATCTAGCATTTTTCAGCAAGATGATAACCAGCTGTTACTGAGATGGAAAAAAAGTGGCGATGGCGGGAGGTTGGGGGAAGAGGGACTGTTATACTAACCTGGTTTGCTAGACTCTACTCGATGTTTGTAGGGAACTGTTATTTTTATTTATATTTCACACTATTATTGAGCATTTTGCAATAAAGCCCAATATTAGAGCATCCTGGCTGAGTAAACATGAGAAGTGTTTTCTAAGACCAGAGCAAATACGATAACCTCTTGTTAAACACTTCTCAAGAGACTGTAAATAGGGAACAGACCATGAAAGCAGTTTTTCCAAATAACTTTGTTTCTGATCACTGGATGACTTTATACAAAACTGACCTAGGTTGGCTGAACTGGTTATCAGTCATGATGGCAACAGTAGAAGTCATTATAAATCGTTGCTGGGTGCAGGCATTACGTTAACATTTCAGAGACCTCAGCTCATGAAATCTGAGCAGCTTTGTCAGGGAAGTGGAATCCTGCCCATTTTACGGATGGAGAAAGTATGGCATAGAGAGTTAAATACTACCTAGGGTCCCAGAGTGAGAAGGTGGCAGCAGATGGGATTAAAATGCCATTCTCCCTGACTGAGAATCTGGACTCCAAGCTGCCACTCAGTATAATCTTGTGGGGGGCAGCACCTGGCCCTCACCTGAGAGGGTTTACACGAGAGCATTTGCTTCCCTGGGAAATAGAAAGCATTCGCTGGAGTCCATAAGGGGCTTGTCTGTCTAAAAGGGCACATTTCTAGGATGAGTTTCTTGCCCAACCTCGGTGATTGTGCAGCTACCCAGCTGAGACAGCTGTGTGTGCCAGAGGAGGGGACAGTGCTCCTGAGAAGAAATGACTCCAGACATAGCCTGTGTTCATGGGTTGTGTTAAATCTCAACTAATTTTAAACTTAGTCCCTGTAGGAGGCCCTTAGATCTGCCTCAAGTTGATAATGTATGATGGGCCTGGCCTAGAGTAAAGGTTTCTGAGCTCCCATCCTTCTGATTTTCACGGTGGGAGACGCTGTGGGGATGAGAGGACCCAGCCTCCTTGCAGCCCCCTCTTGTTAACCAGGGGAAGTTTGTCTGAGGTGAACACCTGCTGATTCTTGGAGTTTAGGTTTCCATTTCTAACTCTGGTTCTGTACCTGTGACTGGTAGCATTGAGGTAAGTGGTCTAGCTGGAGATCAGATTTGGGGAACGGTCTCCGGCAGTACTCTCCGTTTGCAGTTTAACACAGAAATGTGGAGACTAACATGATCTGCTGGAAATCCAGAATATTATAAAAGTAGTAGATGCCTCCTGCTCTTAGTGTGGAACTAGTGCAGGTAGAAGGTTTCGTGTTAATGTCCTACTTGGCATTTCATGTGGCTCAGCATACCGATGTGTTAACTGCCGTGGTTTCTCCCCATCACAGCAAAGCTTTGTCCTTGATCAACATAATTAATTAAATGTGGAGGAAATGCCCTTTCAGGAGCTGAACCCCCTCAATAAATAGGTGAATAGACTTTGAATTGTATCCTCTCCTTTACCTAGAACATTATCAGTGTTCTCAACTCGGTGTGAGTGTACTAGAGACATATCTACTGGAGCTATACTAGGCATACAATGTCTCAGATTCTATTTGGAGTATTTAATTATACTGGCTCTGTGAAATTTTGTAAATTCTGCTAAGTTAATCTCCTTACCTAATTTTAGGTGCTATATAAACAGCCATAGTGTTACATACAGACTCTCCCAAGTGCTTCATATTAAGTGTCTCTCAGGCAGCACTCAAAGCAACCTCATGAGATCAGTGTCATGGTTCCCAGTGACAGATGAGAAAAGCAGGGCTTTAAAAAGTTGATACTTGCTTGTAAGTAGTGGGTGGGGATTTGAACTCTCTACCGTAACCTTAGCTATCTGATCGATAGGGGCCATTATGTTTTAAGTGTCTTACTTTTACAATATCACTGTCGATTCCTCGGGCTTTCTCCTTGCCTTTTTTTTGGGGGGGGGTAGAATTTTAAAAAATAAAATCCGAACCTGCATCCCTACACAGTGGTGTCTTTACCATGGTACTTCTCACACATTGTCGTCTGCAGAAAAACTGCATTGTGTTCACAGTTGAAAGAGAACACATGAGAAGTAACAGTTCAGGAAGAGAGAAAGCAGGTCTACCAGCAGTTCTGAAGTCAGGCTGTAGACAGGGGTCCCGGTTGCCATGTGCAGTGGCAGTTGGAATAGAGCTGGTCCGTATCTCCTAGGACGATTGAGAGAACCAAGTGCGGATGGAGGGGCCCTGCGCCCCGCTGCAGCCCGTGATTGTGTAGCCATTCTGAGCCAGCAGGGGTAGGAGCTGAGAATCCAGCAGTGAGCAGGAGGCCCAGGGCTCTGCCCTCAAATTGTCCCATCTGGAGAAGGTCACAGACGTTGCAACAAATCAGTAACATGTTGTAGGTGATGAACACGTTTGTAGAGAAGGTACTAGAAGGTATAGGAGGAATCTGTCCTACCGTTGGAGGGACACCTATCCTAGACATTGGAGTCAAGAATGTGTGCAAAATAAAAAGCTGTCCACTCAAAAATTGAGAGGATATTGTTTACCAAGAACTGCACTATAGAAAGGAAAGAAGGGGTGGTTCACCAGCGTGGCCACTCCCGAGCCCCAGTTTCTTACCACGTCAGCATTACTCTTTCAGACATGGTTACGTGCTTAGATGATGCATCCCTGACAATTGCCTGTGGTCAGCCCTGGAAGGGAGCCTCAGGCCGGCCCAAGAGAGGCGAGGAGACATGCAGTACTTGGGTGGCACTGGGTGGGGAGAGGGTAGTAGCAGATTTTTTAAAAGGTTATTTGAGAGGGGGGTCACTGTGCTTGTCCTGTGCAGTATTAAGGTTTATCACTTTGTTGGGACTTCAACTTTTTCTAACTATTAATATTTGGTGCTTAAGGAAAACTTCCAGAGTGGCACCACGTGAGACTTGAATGTTGAGTCGTGGTGCCTGACCGCAGGCAGACCTGGGGTGGGGCGTGCAGCGCTGTGCTGGAGAATTCTAGGTGGAGGTCGCTTGCACACAGGCCTGTGGACAGAGCAGCCGAGTGTGTGCAAGGACTCAGATCAGGGCAGCCCTCATTCACCGCAGGAAAGGTCCTGTGGCCCTGTGGCGAATGGCCTTTTAAGCATGTGAAGTTTGGGGGTGATCCTGAGGGCAGTGGAGAGCCAGCAAAGACCTTTGAGCCAGAGAATGACAAAATTTCTCTTCAGCCTATACCCCTGCTGCCCTTCACACAGTTTCCGCCCCCCCAACTCCCCCCTCCTCGACCCCGGGCCTTGCGGGGGTATGGCCCAGTTCTGTCCCCGGGCCTCTCTGCCTTCCCTGAGACCCTGCCTGGGCAGTCTCATCCACTCCCAGGGCTTCGGCCCAATGCTAGAAAGTCACAGACATGCTTCTCTAAGCCAGATCTGCAGCCACGTGAGGCTCCTGGGCACCACCGTGACAGACCCTCTGCCCGAGCCCTCGGATTCTACACACCCAAAACTGAACTTCCTCTCCTTTCCCCGCAATCTGCCATTTCTCCTAGATTCCTGGTCCCTGGAAAGCCGCCTCCTATGCAGACAATAAAGCCAGATCCATACATCTGTCTTCCTCAGATCAGGAGCTGAGTCCTCTGAGTTTACTCTCTGTCTTGGCTGGTGCCGCTGATAATCTGTGCTGAGGTGCACCCCCCCCTTTGCCTGGGGCGAGAACTCCCAGGGTCTCCCTCTCGGCTACACCCATCCATTCCCTCCTCCACACTTCTGAAGTGGCCTTTTGGAAAGGCAGATCTGTTCTTCTATAGCTGCTGAAAGCTCTGCATCCCTTCCCTTGGGCACAGGAGGCCAGCCAGGAAGAAGCCGCAGCCTGAGGCTCGCCCCCCCCCCCAGCTCCCGTTGGTCGCCCAGGGCAGGCCTGCAGCTCCCTCCGTGTGCACGCCGTGTGGCCTCTGCATCCCTCTTTCTGGAGTGTCTTCTCTGCCACCCACTGGTTCCTGACAAAAATTTTTCAAGTCTCTGTTCCAGAGAAATCTTTTTTAAAAAGCATTTCTGACCTCCTATCATCAAAGTAACAGTAGCAAACATTTGCATCCTGCTTACTGCATGCCAGATGGGGTTCTAAGAACTTTCTTTGTAGTATTTAACACTCACCCTCTTCTTGTCCAGTTTTACAGAAGGGGAAACTGAAGCTCAGGCAGCTGAAGTAACTGCCCCAGGTTAGAGCTAGTGCGTGACCGAGCCAGAGTGCACACCAAGGCCACAGGCTGTGAAGTCCCCGCTCTTAGCCGCTTTGGTGATGTGGCCTCACGTGACGATTGCAGCGCTCTGACTTTCGCTGGCTCCTGGCTCTAGCATGTCTGCCTCCCGCTCCTAAAGACAAGGGCGCTGCAGGATGGGTAGAGAAGCTTTATTACCCCCCAGGTCTTAGAGCACACCGGTCTGTGGCGGCGGTGGGTGGATCTCTGCCTGCCGTGTCTAACAGCTGCTCATCAGCTGTTAGTCCGACTTGTGAGCACCTGGTGTGTAGCGTGCAATCCTTTTAAAAGTGAAGCCTTTCTCTTTCTCTGATTGACTTCTTTCACTCAGCATCATACCCTCCAATTCCATCCACGTCGATGTAAATAAGATTTCATCCTTTGATGGCTGAGTAATGTGTGTGTGTGTGTGTGTGTGTGTGTGTGTGTGTGTGACATCTCTGTCAGTGGACATCTGGGCTCTTTCTATAGTTTGGCTCTTGTGGACATTGCGGCTATAAACATTGGGGAGCAGGTGCCCCTTCAGATCATTATATTTGCATCTTTAAGGTAAATACCTAGTAGTGCAATTGCTGGGAAGAAATCAGAGAGGGAGGCAAACCATGAGAGACTCCTAACTATGGGAAACAAACTGAGGAGACAAACCCCTTGAGGGTTGCTGGGGGGGAGGGGGGGAGGGGAACAGGGTAACTTGGTGATGGGCGTTAAGGAGGACACGTGATGTGATGAGCACTGGGTGTTATATGCAACTGATGAATTACTGAACTCTACATCTGAAACTAAAGATGTACTATACGTTGGCTAATTGAATTTAAATTTAAAAAACGGCTAATGGCGAACGCTTCTGCTCCAGACCATAGAAGTGCAGGACAAACAATAGATTGAATGAAGCTAAGGATCCCCGGGCATTATTTGGGCCACTGCAGTCATTATCACAGGGTCCTCCAAGGACCTGGATCGGCTCTAGTCACAAGGAGTAGGAATCCTCACTGCTGCACCGGTGGGACATGTCCTGCCCCTTGTGAGGTCAAGGAGCAATGGTGCTGCTGACTCTGAGGAAAGATGAAAACCTAAGATTTGTAAAGTTGGTTAAAATAATCACTACAGCAATGGAACACGTAAAGCTAGGTGCATCTGTGCTTAGGGTTTGTGAGGCTGGCCTACCCCTATTCCATCCCGTGTCCCGGTGAGGAAACAAAGGGGACGCGGGGAGGAACACGCTCCTGGAGCCTCTCGGGGAGGCAGCGGGGGAAGCTGCCTGCCGGTGTTTACTTGAATTGGTAGCGCGCGGGGCTGAACTGTGTTTTTTACAAAGCCTGCCTGACTCGAACTCGTTGTAGGTGGAAAGCGAGACCAACGTCCTGCAGGACGGCTCCCTCATCGACCTCTGCGGGGCCACGCTTCTCTGGAGGACGGCGGACGGCCTGTTCCACGCGCCGACGCAGAAGCACATCGAAGCCCTGCGGCAGGAGATCAACGCCGCCCGGCCGCAGTGTCCCGTGGGGCTCAACACCTTGGCCTTCCCCAGCATCAACAGGAAGGAGGTGGTGGAGGAGAAGCAGCCCTGGGCCTACCTCAGCTGCGGCCACGTGCACGGCTACCACAACTGGGGCCACCGGAGCGACACGGAGGCCAACGAGCGAGAGTGTCCCATGTGCAGGACTGTGGGCCCCTATGTTCCGCTCTGGCTCGGCTGCGAGGCGGGCTTCTATGTCGACGCCGGACCCCCCACTCACGCTTTCACCCCCTGTGGACACGTGTGCTCAGAGAAGTCCGCGAAATACTGGTCGCAGATCCCGTTGCCTCACGGAACTCACGCGTTCCATGCTGCCTGCCCTTTCTGTGCCACGCAGCTGGTTGGGGAACAGAACTGCATCAAATTAATTTTCCAAGGTCCCGTGGACTGATGTCTTTGACAGCCGTCTACGACTTGATTAACAAGTTACTGTGAAGATTTTGCCACTAACTGTAGATTTTACCTTTTTATAATTCTGGTTATTAAGGGGAAGAGGGGGGCCTGAGGCTGGAGGGTTGGGGGGAACGACGAGGAGGGGGGGCCCTGGCAATGAAACATGCCCGGAATTTAAGATCGCAGTGGTGTGGTGCATGCTCCAAACAGCGGCATTGTCCTTGAAGTATGCTTGATGAAACCATCCTATCTTTGTAATAATTGGATTTCAAATGCCATGCTTTTACTTTAACCTTGGGGGGTTTTAAACGACGTTTTCCTTTGTAAACTTGGACGAGGCTTTAAATCCTATTTTACAAATGTAGAAGAAATGTATTCAAAAGTTGTTGGCTCTTAATGTGCGCCCTCCCGTGCTGCGTGGCGTAGGTGGTACCGGCGAGCCGTGCAGTGCCTACAAACACTTGACCGTGGCTGGGAGCTGCGCGGCTTCGAATCCGCCGCTCCGTACCACGGGGGTGGCGGACAGGAGACCTTAGACACAGGGGCTCGTTCTGAAATCGGGGGCTTTCGGATTTTTCTTTTTGGGGGGAAAGAACATCCCTATGCTGCCGTCCTGTTTTTTTACTTTGGTGGAATTCAGTGACTTTATCCACAGTCATCAAATACCTTGGCATTTCAAAGAAATTTCCGTAACTTCTTAGTCCACTTTTTGTTAACGTCCGTGATACTCCGCGTGCATGGCCAGAACTGTTCAGTTGATTAAAATGCAGCAACTCCTAAAAATTCAGTAATTGAGGGTGATTATTGTGGCATGGCCTAGGTACTACACCATCGAGTTTATTTACTTGGACTGTTTAGGATTTAGGATTAAAAAAAGTTTTACTTTTTAAAACCACTTGTTGGGGTTTCGTAAGTTTTTCTTAAGGCAACCAAAACTCTGGGAGCCGAAAAGCAACAGCTCACAAGGATGCAGTCATTTTGGTTCACTCTCTCCCTGCCATCTGTCACCTTCTCCGGCTTATGGAGCCCTGTAAGTTTCGAAAATGTTTGCAAATCAAACTAAATTTAAATGGGATCATTAGATATACACAACACCAAGTGGTACATCTGCAGAGATAATTTGAAATTCCTGATTTCAAGAGAGCAAATGAGTGTTTACTGAGGAATAATTAAATCAGAATTTCATATGAGCGCCACCATCCTTCTGTTAGTTCCGTTCATTTTGAATAATTCTCAGATGCTCATTCTTGGTCCTCGGTCCTCGTCACCGCTCCCAGAATGTAAAGGTTCTTTAGGCCAGGAGACTGCCACAGCTGGCCGCCATGAAGCGGATCCTGCCACAAGCAGCAAGTATTTATTTAAACTGACGTCCTCTTAAGTTGACCATTACAGATCCATGCTACATTTTAACCTTTGTAAGGGTATAGAATTTATAGGATTCTCACATACTGTATTCATACTTGAATGTCTTTCCAAGTTTTGCCTACTGGTAAATATGTTGCCCTATTTTCAATTGTTCTAACACATTGTGAATGTCTTTTTTCCTGAAAGTGATTAGATTATCTTTGCTGCTATTTAATTTGACCTAATATCTAGAAAGTTCAGCTCAGTTTTAAAAAAGCTTTACTTTTCAAAGGAGATTATCATTAAGGAGGAGGCTTTGTTTTGTTTTGGTAATTTTTAAGTGATGTGAAAAATCCAAAAACAGTCCTTGATAGCTTACTCTATTCTGTAGGTAATTTCATTTTGTCTTCAGGGAGAGTAAATCATAACGTATCAAATGCCTTTTTAGGTAGTCTGTCCCCAAGGATTAGCTTTCACTTAGAGTGTCTTTTCAGTTTGTGCTCCTTTGGGCTCCACAAAATGACAAAGGAGGCAACAGTCCCTTTTCTTGCTGTTAGGCTAGAAGGTGGTTTGAGGAGTCTTGATACTCTAAAAGCATCTTGTAAGGTAAATGGCCTTGCATCTAGAAGGGCTGGATTTTCCCTATCAGAAACATTTCTGGAAAGTTACGACGATCTGCTGTAATCTTCCATTTCAAGGACTATAATAGTTCAGGGTCTAGCAGTTTTATGTGCAACACATGCCCCCAAATAATCTTCCGACGTGAAAAGTTCTGTGTTTTTGTTTTGTTTTTTACTTTCAGTAAATGGAGATAACGCAGTAAATTTGAACTTGGAGTAATAAATTCCAAGCTCTTGGAAGGGGGTAACGGTGCACTGCCCTCTGTCCACATTGCATCTCCTTCAACCTCCAAGTGAGGTCCCCTCCCACTCCACCGAAGGAACAGCAGAGAAGTCTGCAAAAAGAGGCCATGCTCCTGTTGGCCACTTCTCGTAAGCGTTGCTTAGAATTTGGACTAAGGAGTTTTCTCCAGAGCTGAGAGTAGTTCATTTTGTGAGAATAAAGAGCTCCAGCTCTATGGAGTAATGCAGTTTAGAAAAAACTTCTCAGAGGTTACTTCTGTTTTTGTCTTGCTTGCCCCACCACATTAAGGGGGGGAGTCCCTTTCCTCCAGGTGTCCACATAGGAAACTGCTGACCGATTATCCTGATCTTGGCCTGGCCAAAATGCCTTTTGTGAAGAGGTCACCAGAAGTAAAACCCCAGTGATGTATTCCCATAGTTAATTTTTTTCAGTTGTCAGTTTACTATTTAAAAACAAAACAAAAAAAAGGTGGATGGGATACAACTCTGAATATTTTTCTAGTCTGGAATTTTTTTTATTAATAATCGGTGCTGTCGGGTCATGCATGCTGCAACTCAACATTTCCCTTATTTGGTTTCGCTTTTTGCAAAAAGGGCTACGGTTCACACTGCAGAGTAAGTATTAAACTTTCTGGGTTTTTTATTTTTTCCCCCAACTGTGGCCCAAAAGAATTAAAATCTTTTAATATAAATAGAGAGCATATTTATCATTCCTCAATAGTTAATTATAGAGTTTGGTACCTTTGTGCCTCAGGGAAGCCACGTGATATAACTGGTTATAGAATTTCAGGGTTAGGGTTTAAAGAAAGGAGAAAGCCATTGGAAAAATGATGGGCTCCATGAAGGAGACTAATGAATCTGGATGCAGAAATATGCCAGGAACTGGCATATACATGATTGTAATAGAATTTATTTCCAGCATCAATAGGGAAATCTTAAGTTATTGCAGATACTGTATTAGGAAATTTGAGAACTCTTCATAAAGCTTCAGTTGCTTTATTTTTGCTTACATAAAACTCAAACCCCTGTGTTTTGGGAGCTCAGTAGTGTGATTTGGGTAATTTTGACAGTTAAAGGGAGCATGTTTTCTCCTTTTCTCATAGGTTACAGAATTGTTACCTGCAGGTCTAGGATTTTGATCAACTTTTTTGAAAGCCATTCTGTGCTTTGGATTCGTGTGAAAGGATGTGTGATCATGGCATTGTTCATGCTGGCTACAAGCTAGTTATCTTCATGCAATTTTGCCTTGTAACAGTGGAATTTCTGATAGGCAAACCACAGAACCTTGATCTTAAGCCAGATCCAGCTCCGTTCCCTTGGCAGGCAATCTTCTATCCCCATAGTTTAGCCTTCGTGGGCTGAGGGTATGAAGTTCCTTCTCCAGAGCTGGAAATAGAGCAGAGCTCTGTTATTTCTTCATGACCCAAAGGCCAATGAGACAGCTCCAGGAATTTTTTTTTTTTTTTAAGAACATAAGCATTGCTGAAGTAGTAAAACAAATAAGGTTCAGTGCTTCTTTTCAGTAAAACTTACATCCTCTCAAGTTTTCGCCCTCATGAAAAAGCCCTAGAGGAAGACAGGAAGAAGCAAATATTTTTCCAGTTCTACTTAACTGTTTCTAAACAAAAATAAACTTGATGAAAGGGAAATTATTTCTTTTTAGCTGAGATGACATTGTTTTTCTGTATTAAATAGTCTAGAAGTTAAGGGGTGGTCATATTTACCAATGTATAGTGTTATGAGCAGTTAAATTTTATGGATATATTTGTAAAACTGTTCTTTTATATTTCATGTCAAATTGAAAAGTTTATTTCTTCACTATTGTACCTGTGGAAATACAAGCCATTTTACAGGAAAAAAAATCTTCAAAAATTATTAAATGGATCTCAGTATGTTTGTGAGTCATTGTCTTCAGACTCTGTGGCTGCCTGGGGGTTTATCAGGACATTTAATACGAAGCTGATACAAAAGTAGACTTGAGTTTTACATTTCTCAACTTTCAAGTTGATCCCAAATACTTGAGCTTATTGTATTCTATTCCACACAATACATATTTAAATCTGAATTTGAAAATGCCATTTTTTTTATTAAAAAAATTCCATCGGTGCTTAAATCTAACTTCCAGGAGAATTAACCTGACTCATAGAATGGATTTTCTTCATGTTCATTATAGACATATGGCTACTTTTGCGACAATCTTCATTCACTTTTAACAACATAAGGATTATGGGTAAGCCTTCAAGCCTTAAACTAATAGGTCTTTCATAAGAAAATATATGTATTTGATAGTTTCTCATCACATTGATATTTAAGGAGGCTTAATATTTTTGAGGGAAATGGATTTTTCATTTCCCTAAAGAAAATGCACATTAACATGGGCTTTTATTTCAGGAATTAAATTTGATAAAGTATTGGAACACTTAAGAATCCCTGAATTGTAAGATGCATTTTAGAAGAACAGCCACTTAAAATTGTGAGATACATCGCACTTGACAAGGGTGCCAAGAGTATTCAATGGGAAAAGAACGGTATTTTCCACAAATGGAACTGGGGTAACTACATAGCCACCAACAAAAGAATGACGTTAAATTCCTACTTCCCACAATACACCAAAATTAACCCAAAATGGATCAGAGTGCTGAAACTATAGAATTCTTAGAAGAAAACAGTAAACTTTTGTGACCCTGGATCAGTCAGTGATTTCTTAAATATGACATAAAAAAATAAGTTGGGCTTCAAAATTAAAAATGTTTTCTTTCCCTTCGTTCATGTTTCATTTCTTAAATTCCACATTGAAACAAAATGTTTTATACATCAAAAGACATGGTCAAGAAAGTAAAAAGACAAACCACAAAATAGAATTTGAAAATCCTATTAAGAGTTGTATCCAGAATATGTGAAGAACTCCTAACTCATCAATAAAAAGAACACAATAAAAAAATGGAAAAATACCTACTCAAATCTTTTGACCAAAGATGATCTAGAAATAACCAATAAGCACATAAAAAGATTGCCATCCCGAGGCATCAGAGAAATGCAAATTAAAACCAGGAGATACCACTTGATACCCACTATGATGGCTAAAATAAGACAGTAACTAGTGTTGGCAATGTGTTGAAAAATTGAAACCCTCATACACTGTTGGGGGGGAGGGGATTGTAAGTACATACAACCACTTTGGAACAAATGGTATGGCAGTTCCTCATAAGGTAAAATAGACAATTGCCATGTGACTCCTAGATATGTACCCAAAGAGACCTGAAAACATGTTCACACAAAAACTTGTACATGAATATTTATAACATTATTCATAGTAATCAATAAGTAGTAGAAACAACCCAAAAGTCCATCTGATGAATGAACAAGATATATCCATACAGTGGAATATTTAGCTATAGAAATTAATGAAGTACTGATAGGAACTTTGAAAACATGCCAAGTAAAAGAAGCCAGACACAAAAGACCACATATTGTATGTCAGAAAATAAGCATAATCACAGAGACAGAACACAGATTAATAAGTGACAGACACTGAGAGGAATCAAGGAGTAATTACTACATTATTACTTTCAGGATTACATGAAAACGTTCTAAATTTACATAACAGTCATGGTTGCACAATTCTGAATATACTAAACAAATTTTACACTTTGAAAGGGTGACTTTCAACGTCTGAATTAGATCTCAAAACTTTTTAAAAGATACATAATTCAGAGATGTTAGATCGTGAAAAATTTGCATCCTAGAATTTAAACACAGCACCATAATCTTAGTGCTTCACATAAAAATATTCCGGATCCTCCCATGCCTACCTTGAGATGTTCTCTTAAAACAGCATATTCCTTTCTATCACACTTCCACTTGCCATTAGATGAAGAAGAGCATAGATAAAAGCCCACTAAGAAGATTAGATGAGAACTTTGTATTCCTAAGGATGGGCTGCCCTTTTTGCTGTTAGGATGAAAAAATAGAATCGTATTTCTGGAAGAAATAGAATGCTATCCTGAGGCTTCAAAGTCCACTTTCTTTAAAAAGTATTTTTTGGAGCTCCTGGGTGGCTCAATCAGTTAAGCATCCCACTCTTGATTTCGGCTGAGGTCATGATCTCAGGGTCATGAGATCAAGCCCCATGGGGCTCTGTGCTCAGCAAGGAATCTGCTTGAGATTCTCTCTCTACCCTTCTCCCTTTGCCCCTCCCCCCGCTCACGTGCATGCTTTCTCTCTAAATTTTTTTAGGCATGTGTTGCAATGAGCACTGGGTGTTACACGCTAATAATGAATCATGGAACACTACATCAAAAACTAATTAAGTACTGTATGGTGACTAACAAATAAGTATTTTTATGTGAAAATTCTTATAATCAAAATAAAAACTAACAGAGGGCTGCTGTAAAAGATTTAAAAATCTGGGAATCATGAAGAATAAAACCTATTCCTCTACCACTCAAAAATAAACTATTAGTATTTGGAGCTCTATCTTTCTAAACTTAAAAAATGAATTTTTGTGACTTCAATTTCATTCTGGTATTTAGTTATTTAATTACAAAGACTGATAAAAATTTTGAAATGTGGTTTTGGGAAAAGAGGGAAAAATGATTGATATATCTGTAGTGGGTTTCTCCATAAACAGCTACAAAAGGAAGTTTTCTCTCCTAAAGCACAAAATGTGTCCAAGGTTGGCAAAATGAGACTGTGGTGGTTAGGGCTGCCAAAGCTATAAGCCTGAGAAGACTATTTTCAAGCTGTTGTGTCCCCCTAAACACCCACTGCCAATTATAGGACACACTTTGGAATGCCCAAATGGACTACTCTTAAACATTACTTCCTTCTTTTGTCTTCTAAACAAGTTCTAGTTGAAGAATAAAGTTATTCTTATTAGTTAAAAAAGGTAAGGTGGATTCTTTCTTACCTACTTCCAGGTTCAAATTTGAGGTCACATCAGAGTGCCATGAGGTGTTTGCTGAAAATGCAGATTCTTTAGTGGCATCTACAAGGCTGGCGATGTTCTAGTTTTCTAGGTCTCTCCAGTAATTTACACTTTGGACAGACAACTTAAATGATTCCTCAGGCAATGCATGTTCCATGCTTTGGGAAACTTTTCTTCAACGAAATGATTGTATGAAGCGTATGCCTCTGTGGGGCAAGTTACTGAATCCCCATTGTGTGTATTGGTTTTGGCTGACCCAATGTGGTTTCCTGGAAACCTGAAGTATATGGCCCAAATGGAGATGGGAATGGATGACCCAGCCAGTCAAGAGTTCTTCCTACCCCATGATTCTACCTTCCATTTTCTCTTAGGTGAATAGAACAGACTCAGCTCCATCCCTATTCTTTATCATTGGTTTCTTCAGTTCATGCCTTTAACCATTTCCACCTTACATGGAAAGAATCTTGAAATTCTCAAATTCATTGATGGAGTTCAGGGTTAAAGGTAAAATTTATACATAATTCTGAGAGTTTGCTGAGTTCTCAAAATTGTTATTAAACAGGATGGAAACTTGCCATGTATCAGCAAAGTGGATGTCATCACAGCACATTTCACAGGCTTTGGGTTTCTACATCTAGTGATGTATTTCTAATAAAAGTTACAAAGGGAACCTTTTTTAATTACAGTTTGATTTTGTCATGTATTCTGGAAATGTTCTGCTAATTCCATTCATTGGGTTAAGTGGATGGGCAAGTATATCCTCATCTATAAAACAGAAATGATAATAGTGCTTCTACTCCTTAGAGATGTGAAAGTAACATACTTAATGCACTATGGTACATAATAGGTGCTCAGTAAATAATAGTGGTTTTTATTTTTCCCTTGCAGAAACATTTCCTAACATGTAATCTTTATAAATTAAGTCTCAGAAAATTTTCTGTAAGATCATATAACCCATGACACCCTATACAGAAAACCCTAAAGACTCTAAAAAATACTAGAATAAGTGAATTCAGTAAAGTTGCAGAATACAAATATACACAAATCTGTTGTATTTCTATTCACTAATAATGAAGTAGCAGGAAGACATAAAAGAAGCAATCCCACTCACAATAGCACCAAAAAGAATAAAATACCTAGGAATAAAGTTAACCAAAGAGGTGAAAGATCTGTTATCTGAAAACTATAAAACACTGATGAAAGAAATTGAAGAAGACATGAACAAATGGAAAGACGTTCCATGCTCATGGATTAAAAGAATAGTATTAAAATGTCCATACTACCCAAAGCAATCTACACATTTAAGGCAATCCCAAACAAAATACAGTATTTTCCCCAGAACTATAACAAATAATCCTCAGATTTGTATGGACCACAAAAGACCCCAAATAGCCAAAGCAATCTTGAAAAAGAACAAAATTGGAAGTATCATAATCCCAGAATTGAAGATACATTACAAAGCTGTAGCGATCAAAACAGTACTGTACTGGCACAAAAACAGACACAGAGATCAACAGAACCGAATAGAAGGCCCAGAAATAAACCCACAATTAGATGGTCAATTGACCCACAACAAAGGAGGCAAGCATATACAATGGGGGAAAAGTCTCTCCAACAAATGGTGTGGGGAAAACTGGACAGCTACAGGCAAAAGAATAAAACTGTACCACTTTTTTACACCATACACAAAAACTGGAAATGGATTAAGGACCTATGTGTGTAACCTGAAACCATAAAAATCCTAGAAGAGCACACAGGCAATAATTTCTCTGACATCAGCCATAACAAGACTTTTCTAGATATCGCTCCTGAGGCGAGGGAAACACAAGCAAAAATAAACTATTGGAACTACATCAAAATAAAAAGCTTTCTGTACAACAAAGGAAACAACCAACAAAACTAAAATACAACCTACTAAATAGGAGAAGATATTTTCAAATGACACATCCAATAAGGGGTTAGTATA